GATTCAGGCCTCACCATGGGACTGAAACTGCCTTGGTCATGCTGGTCAATGATCTCCGGCGGGCGAGGGACAACGGTGAAAGCTGCTTCCTAGTTCTGCTGGATATCTCAGCAGCCTTTGTTACCATCGACCACGACATCCTTCTGGACCGTCTAGAGGGGCTGGGAGCTGGGGGCACTGTTATATTAGGTTCCGCTCCTTCCTCCTGGGCCATGTTCAGAAAGTGGTGTTCAGTCCCCTGGGCTCTCACTTGTGGGGTGCCTCAGGGTTCTGTCTTCTCCCCTATGCTTTTTAACATGTATATGAAGCCGCTGGGAGAGATCATTAGGGGGTTTGGGCTGGGTGTTCATCAGTATCTCTTTTAAATCAGAACCAGTGAAGGCGGTGAATGTCCTGTGTGAGTGCCTGAAGGTGGTTGAAGGATGGATGGCGGCTAACAGATTGAGGCTGAATCCTGACAAGACAGAAGTACTGTTTTTGGGGGACAGGGGGTGGGTGGGGGTGGAGGACTCCCTGGTCCTGAATGGGGCAACTGTGCCCCTGAAGGACCAGGTGCGCAGCCTGGAAGTCATTTTGGACTCACAGCTGTCCATGGAGGCGCAGGTCAATTCTGTGTCCAGAGCAGGTATCTACCAGCTCCATCTGGTACGCAAGCTGAGACCCTACCTGCCCACAGACTGTCTTACCAGAGTGGTGCATGATCTCGTTATCTCCTACTTGGACTACTGCAATGTGCTCTACGTGGGGCTACCTTTGGAGGTGACGCTGAAACTACAACTAATCCAAAATGCGGCAGCTAGACTGGTGACTGGGAGTGGCCGCCAAGACCTGAAAAACCTACATTTGCTCCCAGCACGTTTCCGAGCACAATTCAAAGTGCTGGTGTTGACCTTTACAGCCCTAAACAGCCTCGGCCCAGTATACCTGAAGGAGCGTCTCCACCCCCATCATTCAGACCAGACACTGTGGTCCAGCTCCGAGGGCCTTCTGGTGATTCCCTCACTGTGAGAAGTGAGGTTACAGGGAACCAGGCAGAGGGCCTTCTCAGTAGTGGCACCCTCCTGTGGAACGCCCTCCCATCAGATGTCACGGAAATAAACAACTATCTGACTCTTAGAAGACATCTGAAGGCAGCCCTGTTTAGGCAAGTTTTTAATGTGTTAATGTAGGGAAACCCAGCCAGATGGGCAGGGAATAATAATAATAATAATAATAATAATAATAATAATAAAAATAATACCAATTGCTAGAAAGAACAGGAGGGGAGAGTGCTCAAGCGCTCAAATCCTGTTCACAAGTTTCCCACAAGTTGACCACTGTGAGAAGAGGATGCTGGACTAGATGGGCGTCTGGCCTGATCCTGCAGGCTCTTCTTATGGCTAGTTGGACCAGTGGCCTGATCCAGTAGTCTCTGCTTATGTTCTTATGAAAACCTATCCAGGCCGGTGCCACTCTAATGCCAGTGGCATTCCACCACTGGGGCACCAGCATCAAGAAGACCCTCCTGTGTGGCTGTGTCCCAAATGCTCAGTAAATGCTGCATGGATAAGGGGGTCTCTCTGCACAAATCTACCACCTCAGCAGGTGTCTATGGGAGCAGATGATCCACCAGATTTTTAATATTTATATCCAACTAAGTTCTACTCAGAGTAGACCCAGTGACATTAATGGATCCAAATTAGTCACCACCTGTTAATTTCAGTGGGGCTATATATGTCAGAGCAAGCACCCTGAACTTGGCTCAGTAGCAAATTGGCAGCCAACGCAGCTGCTCCTTCACCGTCATTAATATGCTCCTGGCAAGCTCTCCTGGTTAAGAGCCTAGCTGCCACATTCTGTGCTGGATGCAGCTCCTGAATGGAGCCAAAAGGCAGCCCCATGTGCAGTGCCTCACGTAAAGCCTGCCCTGGCACAGCCTGTTTTATCACACCCTACGAGCCTTTGCATTAGGCAGGTGCCATCTTCAAGGGTGGCATTAAGAGGGAAGCCATGTGGCATCCATAGAAAAGGAAAGTTGCTTTTGATCGGCGGTTGAGCAGAGGCATGCGCCATGGCAGACTTCCAACAAGATACCCACTTCTTCCTTCCTTTGTTCTTGTCTTTTCCTCAGGCATATTACAGCTAGTGATTAGCCAAATCATATTTTAGTCATTTTCCCTCTGGCAATGAAAATTCATGCGCCTTCTTGTGTTAGCAGGCTACAGAGTAAACCTAGAGGAAAGAGGCGGGGGGGGGGGTCTGAATATTATGGAAGCCTGTTCCTGAGTCCCATTGAGACTTAAGCACATAAGAAGAGCCTAATGGATCAGACCATTGGTCCATCCAGTCTAGCACCCTGTTCTTACAGTGGCCAACCAGGTGCCTGTTGGAAACCTGCAAGTAGGATTCGAGCAGAAGAGCAAATTATCTCCACCTACCATTTCCAGCAACTGGTATTCAGAAGCACTGGTGTCCTTTCCTCCATGAATTATTCTAATACTCTTTTAAAGTCATCCAAGTTGGTGGCCATCACTGTCTCCTGCAGAAGGCAGTTCCATAGTTCGACTATGTGCTGTTCGAATGCGTTCTTTCTTTTCTTTGTCTTTAATCCTCCAGTATTCAGCTTCACTGGATGTCCACAAGTTCTAGTGTTATGTGAGAGGGAGAAAAGCTTTTCTCCATGCCATGCATCATTTTATAGTCTTCTATCGTGCTGCCTCTTCCTTGCCTGTTTTCAAAACTAAAAAGTGCCGAATGTTGCAACTAGGGCTGGGCGATGCCTGGTTTTCAACCTAGTGTTATATCACCAGTTAAACATCGTGATATACTGATCTATCATGAGGTCTGAAATAAGGATGGAACTATGTAGAGGCATTGGCTGGCTTCATGGTTTTTACTGCTTCGTGGTTTGTGCCAGTGCCTGCTCTTGTGATTTGCTGCCCCCTGCAGGAGTCGGCAGAGTAAACAGGGGCTGCAGGAATCAAGAGAAGCATTGCCTGCCTTCACAGTTTTTCCCACATTGTGATTTTTGCTTAGAGGGAGCACACACACATAATAATTCGTGATATATTGCCAGGTCAAAAAATATGAAACCGATATCACCATATGGACTTTAAACTGGTTTTGGATGATGTATCAGTACTGTATATTGTCCACACCATAGATTACCAGATTTTGTTCTTTTCCTATTGATCCCAAACACGGAATCTGTAATTTTCACAACTGCTGCACACTCGCACTTACTGGGGTGATGGTGTTAACCACCCACAACCTACACACCTGGCAGAGCATGGTGGAGGACTCATAGTTGGTTCAGGGTTACTTCCTCAGGCGAGAACTTCAAATGTGTTAGTTGGGTTCTCCTGGCTGGAAGGCACATCCTTCATGCCATCCTCTGGCTCAGGAGAGGAGTCCCTTTCAGGACCTTGTAGAAACCACTCTCTCTGTAGGGAAAATGAGCTTTCCATCTGCTGGGAGTATTGTTATTTTGAGCCATCAAAGTCAAGCAGGCCATAATGCTGGCCAGTTGGGCATCCTTGCAACAATCTCACCTTTGACTTTCCCCATGGCACGTTGCAAGTTGAATTTAGTAGTGATAGTGGAAGTCGGGGGTGGGGGTGGGGGGCGTTCTTTTAATCTCAGACACTCTTTTTTTTTTTTCAATCTCAGAAACAAAGCTCTGCATGGGCACTTAAATCTTCTTCCCTAGATCAGTGGTATTGTTGTTTACGCTGACATGTTACATTGGTTGTGTATTCTTTTTGTAAAGTGCTTTGGGTGGTTTTTTTTAACATTGTTTATTTATATTTAATTTGTATACCATCCTTCATCTAAGGAACACTGGGCAGTTTAAAATATAAAAACAGAAGAATATATAACATAGTTACAAACAAAACAATTCCTCCCCTACCCACCGTTTAAAAGGCCGTAGATTGTTTAATTAGCCCAGGGTTTGGCAGAAATTGATACATTTGAAGAAAAGAAAGAAAGAAAGAAAGAAAGAAAGAAAGAAAGAAAGAAAGAAAGAGAAATGCAAATATTTGTTTGTAATTTGGGGGGTAGTTTTTGTTTTAAACACTTTTTAAAAAAGAAAACTGTTACAGAAAACTATATAGGGAATATAATAAGTCGCTGAAAAGAGGGGACACTGTTCTTCTGTTGAATGGAAACAACTGGGGTTTGGGATATTTAATGCATTTAAAGGCCAGGGAAAGCTTACAATATATTGAGGTTCCTGAGGAAAAGTGTCAGCGAGAAGGAGAATTTATTTTCCTCAGCCAAAATAAAGAAGTCACTTCGCTATATTGAGTTAGCCCCGTTTACCTTGCTTCTGAAATTTCACCTGATCATTAGATTTGGGTTGTATCCAAAAGGAGAATAAGAGGTGACATGATAGAGATTTGTAAAATGATGCACGGCCTTGAGAAAGTGGACAGAGAAACATTTTTCTCCCTCTCTCGCAACACTAGAAATCATGTACATCCAATGAAGCCGAACGTTGGAAGATTCAGGACACACAAAAGCAAGTCCATCTTCACACAGCGCAGAGTTAAACTATGGAACTTGTTCCCCCAGGGAGACAGTGATGGCCACCAAATTGGATGGCTTTAAAAAGGCCTGGGCCAATTCATAGAGAAGAGGGCTATTGATGGCCACTAGCTTGCGCTTGGGTCCTTTTTGAGGGTTTCCCATTGGGGCATCTGCATGGCCATTGTGAGAACTGGATGCTGCACTAGATGATCCAGGAGGGCTCTTCTTATGTTCATAATGTTGGTTCTACTCAAAGCAGAGGAACTGAAACAGATGGGCATGGCTAACTTAGGTCCATTTAATTTCAATGGGTCTACTCTTATTTGGATAAAACCTATTTGGATACAACCCTTTCTCTCTTTTCCTTGGAAATAAATTATTTGATGCTTTTGTTGCTGTTCTGTTTCATGCATGTGGTCGTGGGGAATAACCAAATGGCAATCTCTTTTCACCTTTTAATCCCGGTGCTTCTTCTTTTCTCCCCCTTACAGCTGAACCTGCAGATCTCTTGAAGGTATTAGATTTTCACAACTTACCCGATGGCATATCGAAAACAACAGGTTTCTGCACAAGCAGGAGGTCTTCGAAAGGCGCAGATGTGGCATACCGTGTGACCAAGGACGCACAGCTGAGTGCCCCAACTAGGCAGCTCTACCCTGGTAAGGCCTGTTTTTATTCTGAGGTTATACACAGTTAGACTATGCATCCATCTACCTACTCTGACCAGAAGCAGCTCTCCAAAGTTTCAGACAGAAGGCATTCCTTGCCCTACCTGGAGATGACATTGAGAATTGAACCCCGGACCTTCTGCATGCACAGCAAATGCTCTGCCACTAAGCTACAGCTTCCCTTTAAAAAAGAAAGAAAACAAGATTCCAGTCCTCATGGTTCTGAGAAAAAGGTCTAATTTAAAAAGGAGCCTGAGGAAGCTGTTTTGTTATCAAATAGAACTCTAGGAAGCTGAGAGGTTTTTAATCTATTGTTACGTTTAAATTTGGGGAATTTGAAAGCCTTTAAGATACATGTGTAAAAACTGTCTCGGTGGCTTCTCTCTGTGAGTTAGTGTTGCAATTCTTCAAAACAAAACGCCCTAAGTGTTTTCCCACTCCCCATGTTTTGCCACGCTGGCAGTGGCTAATGCAACAGGATGCAAAGACCCTAAAACTACCAGCTTAGGAGAACAAAACCTTCTAATTATCTCAAAATATGCTATGAGGCAGAGGGCACTTGGGTAGAAAGAGCTCTGTGGCTTTGTCTTCATCTCCCCATCTCGACACCCTTGATATTCAAATCCCCCAACCTCCATTTCCCTTGGAGATGCTCTGCAATTACTTCTGTTGTCTTTCTTTTAGCATCCCATCATTTGCTTGCTTGTGAGCTAGAGTAACATCTAGTTATTGGGATGATGTGTGTTATTAAAGAAGAAAAGGGATGAACGGTTTCAGAAAGTCCTAGGCAGCTGGCCAACCGACACATCCAAGGTCTAAACAAGGCCCTTTGGCTTATTGAGGGGTTTCGTACACAGGGCTTGACTTCATGGAATCATGGAATTGTAGACTTGGAAGAGCCTCCAACAGGTCGTCTAGTCCAACCCCCTGCAAGGCAGGACTCACAGTTAAAGAATCCCTGATGGGTGGTCACCCAATTGTTGTCAATCTGCTTTGCAAAGCTCTGCCCCAAAATATGCAAAAACTCAGAAGAGTTGAGGGACATCATAATATTCTACTCTTCATAGTTCTGAAGCATGGGCTGAATTAAATCGGGCCACCAGAATCTGCCACACCAAGTCAAGCCATTGGGCTTCCCAGTCCAGTTGTCTATACTGACTGCTAACCGTTTTCCATATTCCAGACAGGTGCTCTACCACTGAGGTTATGACCCTTTCTCTAAAAATAAATAAAGATTTTAGTCCTCATGGTTCGGAATAAAGGACTGAAATAACTAGGAACATAGGAAGCTGCCTTCTATCAAGCTAGCAGATTGGTCCAAATAGCTCAGCACTGTCTACACTGGCTGGCAGCGGCTCTCTAGGGTCTCAGAGAGGGAGTCTTTCCCAAGCCTTACCTGGAGGCTTACCTGCTATTGAACCTGGGGCCTTCTGCATGCAGAGTATGTGCTCTTCCAGAGAGCTATGGTCCCCCCCCCACACAGACATTAAAAAAATGTTCTGGTCCTTGTAGTTTGGAATGAATAGCTGGATTAAATACAATGTAGGCAGTTGCTTTCTGCTGAGTCAGAACATGGCTCCATGTAGCTCAGTACAGTGGTACCTCAGGTGACAAACACCTTGGGTTACAAACACTTCGGGTTACAGACTCCGCTAACCTGGAAGTAGTACCTCAGGTTAAGAGCTTTGCCCCAGGATGAGAACAGAAATTGTGCGGCGGCAGCGGGAGGCCCTATTAGCTAAAGTGGTACCTCAGGTTAAGAACGGTTTCAGGTTAAGAACGGACCTCCAGAATGAATTAAGTTCTTAACCAGAGGTACCACTGTACAGTGGTACCTCGGGTTACATAGGCTTCAGGTTACATATGCTTCAGGTTACAGACTCCGCTAACACCGAAATATTACCTCAGGTTAAGAACTTTGCTTCAGGATGAGAACAGAAATCGTGCTCCAGCGGCATAGCAGCAGTAGGAGGCCCCATTAGCTAAAGTGGTGCTTCAGGTTAAGAACAGTTTCAGGTTAAGTACGGACCTCCGGAACGAATTAAGTACTTAACCCAAGGTACCACTGTACTGTTATCATTGACAGCTAGTGACTTTCCAAGGTTTCAGGCAGGGATCTCTCCCAGCCCTACATGCTTGTGCTACTGGGAATGGAACCTGGGACCTTCTGCATGCAAAGCAGGTGCTCCACCACTGAATTACAGCTTTCCCCCAAGGAACACTGCCTTCTCTGCACATTTTGAACTCATTGCTTTGGGTCCAACTCTACAATTCTGTCATTCTATGATATTTGGTCCCATTCCCATTTCCTTTTTGAAAAGGCCACCTAAGCAAGAGGCCTTTGTCACCAATCTTACAATATTGTGGTTTGGGGGTTATGCTTCCATTGCAGGGAATTAACCACTCTCTCTCCCGCCCCCCTTTTCCAATGCCAGCCTCTCCATTCCCTGAAGACTTCTCGATCCTAACCACTGTAAAAGCAAAGAAAGGGGGCCAGTCCTTCTTGGTGTCTATCTACAATGAGCAAGGCATACAGCAGATTGGTGTGGAGATTGGGAGGTCTCCCGTATTCCTATACGAGGACCACACAGGGAAACCAGGCCCTGAGGACTACCCTCTCTTCCGGGGCATCAACCTCTCAGATGGCAAGTAAGTCTGGCTTGGAACAGGTGGGTGAGACAGAGGGGTGTCAAAGATTTCTAATAAAACAGAAATGGGAGAGGACGTAGCCAGGGGTCATTTCTTCATCCCATGTCCTGAACCAAAACAAATGCAGCAAATAAGTACCTAAGAATAGCCTTCTGGATCAGGCCATTTACCTTTCTAGTCCATCATCCTGTCCTTACAGTGGCCAACCTTGTGGATGAAACCCACAAGCAGGATCTGAGCACAAGAGCATTCACCCCTCCTCTGGTTTTCAGCAACTGGTATTATTCAGAAGCATTATTGCCTCCAACCATGACCACTAAGATGCCTCCAGGATATTGTACAGTTGAAGAAGGTTCAGAAAAGAGGATGGAGCAACTTCCCTATGAAGAAAGGCTGCGGCATTTGTGGGGCTGCAGCGCTTGTGGCTTTTAAGCTTAGAGAAAAGGTGATGAAGAGCAGACACGATAGAGGTTTATAAAATGATGGATGGCATGGAAAAAGCAGAGAGAGAAAAGTGTCTCTCCCTCTCTTATAACGCTGGAATTTGTGGGCATCCAATGAAGCTGAGTGCTGGAAGATTCAGAAAGCCATTCTTCATGCTGCATGTAGTTAAATTGTGCAACTCACTGCCACCGGAAGGGGTGATAGACATCACCTAGCTTTAAAACAGAACTGGACAAATTCATGGAGGATGAGGCTGTAAATGGCTACTAGTTGTGACATCTGTGCTCTACCTACACAGCTGGAGGCAGCCATGCTTCCAAATATCAGTTTCTGGAGACCACAGGAGGGGAGAGTGCCCTTGTGGTAACTGCTTGCAGGTTTCCTATTGAGGGCATCTTGTTGGCCACTGTGAGGACAGGATGCTAGACTAGATGGGCCATTGGCCTGATGCAGCAGGCTCTTCTTCCGTTCTTAAGAAGGACCTGAACAAAGGAGCACTCTCCCCTTCTGCATTTTCCAGCAACTGGCATTCAGAAGCATTATTATCTCAGTCCATGGAGGCAGAGCATAGCCTCCATCATAGCTTCTATCCATTGATAGCCTTGTCCTCTATTAATTTGTCTTTTATTGACTGTGGGCATTCTGACAGGTTGTCCTCCTGGAGAAACAGGCTCTTCATAAGACTCGGAGTCTCCATTTAACGTTCCGGTGGGGCTTCTTATTTCCCAGGTGGCATCGGATAGCTATCAGTGTCCACAAGAAGAACGTTACCTTGATATTGGATTGTAAAAAGAAGGTTACAAAGTTTTTGGACCGGAGTGACCATCCCATCATCGATGTCAATGGCATTATTGTGTTTGGAACAAGGATCTTGGATGAAGAAGTATTTGAGGTAAGCGTGAGAGAGAAAAGAGCTACTGAGAAGCCAGAATGGCATTTCAGGTTGTTGAAATATTGAAGGTGCTTTCTTTCTGTTGGAGAAGAATGTTCCAGATCAGAAATTGAGGGGTCACCAATATTGGGTTTTTTTTTATTTCAGAGTGGCTTACATTACAAATGGTTAGAACACAACAGTCCCTGCACTCAGGCACACATTGTAAAATACATGGCATGAGAGGAAAAATGGATGAGGAGGGAGAGAGGTACCAAAATCTGGAAGGATGCTTATGATTCAGAAATGCATTTTCCTAGCCCTGTCCAGGTTAACTATAACAACCCCTGTGTTGGGGGGGGGGCAGCTCCACCCCACCCCACCCCACCTAAGGGGACACTACTGATGGAGGGATAGTTATCTAGAGTATCAGGTATCTGTGTTTTCCAGCACATGTGATTAGCAGAAAGGTGTGTGTTGTGTACGAAAGCAAGCATTCCATGTGGATCTGTCCAGTGAATCATAGAATCATAGAATCATAGAGTTGGAAGAGACCACAAGGGCCATCGAGTCCAACCCCCTGCCAAGCAGGAAACACCATCAGTGGAAGGTATGATCCTTAATTGTCAGTAATGGTGCACTGTAGCTCATCACATGGAGCTTTCTCCCACAAGCCTCTAAGAAGCTCCAATATAGCTGTACCCAGGATGCCTTGATAAGAGCAAGAACAGGCAGAGCAGAAGGGTTTGTATTTTTCCAGAGGCTGTCATTCACCATGCATATCAGTGACAGAAAGTTCCTTGTTGTGAATTATTGTAGGGCAAGATCTGTAAGGACCTGATGGAACTGTTTTATGGAGTATTTAATTATGTATGATTTTTATAACTAATTTCATGTGTGTAGAGCACTTAGAAGCCATTCTTTTTATAAAGCAATAAACAAAAACAACATCATTTCAGCAGGACACATAGATACCCTAAACAAATCTGGAATGTTTCTAACCACGAATGGTTGCAGACTTGTTCCATAATGGTGGCTGTTTTTAAAATAAAATAACATACCTTTTGGCTGAGCTGACTAATGAGGAAGCAGATTCCATTAAAGGATAATGTATTTTGGTGCTGATTTCCATCATATTGTAACAGGATCCTCCAAATTGGACCATTTTTATGCTTATGACCATGTAGCTGAATAGCCAAGGTTGGTTTTGGCAGCTGATTCAGACACCAGGCGGCAGATTTCATCACTGTCCCAAAAGCTAGACTTATTCCCTGCAAACTGGCTGGTCTTAAGTATCAACCAGACACCTATATTTTCCTTCTCTCCCCCCCTTCCTTTCCTCCTCCTCACTTTTTTAAGATATACATTTTATTGCTTCACCCACCACCACCCAGAAACTACCTTGCAAGCATCTACTCATTCATTATCATTATTTTGGTCAATGTGTGTTCACAATGAAACAAAAGCCCTGCCAGGTCTTCATGCTGGTGTAGCTGGGAGAGCATGGAGGTTCCCTACAACCAATATTTCATTATTTTCACATATTTATACAAGAAGCAGCAATCAGTATTCAACCATGCCACCCCCACCCTGCAAAAGCACCAAATGTCCATTTAATTGCATTTATCTTGCAAGTCATTTCAGTTGCCAGATGTCCTCAGAGGTCTATAACCATGTACTATCAGTGTTGCATATATTACAGAACTGTGCCAGGTTGATTGAACAGTAGTGGCTTGATTGTTAGTTTGACTTTCTAGGACATGTTTGCATTTGTCCATTAATATTAAGCCCCAGAGTGGTGAAGTCCAGATATGAAACAGGTCTACCAATAACTTGCAAGAGTAAGTCAAGGGAGTTTCTGAAATGGACTTGAAATAGAAATTCTTCCTTGCTGGTAATTCCAAATGTCACCTAGAATGAGGATTCAACAACAACAAAAATCTGTTGGTAGCTCTCAAGCTGCCACCTACTTTCTCTGCTGATCGGTGCTCCTTAGCTCATTAGCTCACCCTTTCAGGGTTTACATAGGAACACAGGAAGTTGCCTTCTGTTGGGTCAGACCATTGATGGTGCAATATTATTGAACCTGACTGGCAGGGGCTTTCCAGGATCCCCAGCCCCACTTGAAAGATAGTAAGGGCTGAACCTCATACCTGCATGCTAAGAAGATGCTCCGCCACTGAACCCTAAAAAGTTCCTATCTCTTGCAGTTCTGAAGGAAGGACAGCATCAAACTGACTGACTGGTAGGGACTCGCCAGGGTTCCAGTCTTTTCTCAGTCCTAACGGGAGATGTTGCAAAGGACTGAACCTGGGGCTTTCTGCTCGCAAAGCAGATGCTCTACCAATGGAGCCCCTGCTGTTCTCCATAGGCCCCTTCCTGTTAGTGTCAGGATAGCTTTAAGATGACAGTTCCTGAAGCCTTTGTCTGAGGGCTTTGTCAGACAGGCCAGTACTAAAATAAGCAGCCAAACTTTTGGCTTGACAGGAGGAGTCATAATAATAGCGTTAATAAGCTCTGTGTCCATTGGGCTGTCATAAAAACTTCATCTGTCCACCCTGTCGCTAATGGCTTGATGGAGAGAAGAGAGTTTTCCAACTGTTTTTTTTCTGACATCAAAGGCACCAACTCTGTAGGTCTGAGGTGTCTTTAGCCCCACCATAATCTGTTGGAATGGGGCTGAGCCCCCACAATCTTGAGGGGCCAGGCCTCGTAGCAGCAGCAGTGGGCCTTGCTGGACACAGGAGTGGCAGGCCTTACCGGGCCTGTGACAACAGTAGGCCTCACAGGGCCTCGCTGTGGTGGCAGCAGGCCTGACCAGGCCTTGCAGTGGTGGCAAGCCTCGGTGGGCCTCACAGCGGTGGTGGTGGGTCTCACCGCCCCCCCCCCAACGTTGAGCAGAACTTGGCATCTCTGATCTCAATAGAGAATGGGGGCTCATCTTATGCTTTTATGATTATAGACCACTTTGGTTGCCCTTATCTAGCTTTGTATAATATATTTATTACGGTATTTACTCGAATGTATCTTGGCCAAATCACGTCAAAAATAGGGTGTGCATTAGATTTGATGGTGCATTTGCATTCACCAGCAAATACTTTTTTTCAGTTTCAAGGTTTCGAAAATGGAGGTCCGCATTAGATTTTGATGGCTCATTAGATTTGCGTAAATACGGTTATTTTAGAATCATAGGACTGGGGAGTTGGAAGGGACTGCAAGGGTCACATCTAGTTCAGCCTCCTGCAACTCAGGAATCCCAGCTAAAGAATCCCTGACAGATGGCCATTGACCCCTGCTTAAAAACCCCCAAGGAGGGAGAGTCCACCACCTTGCAAGCCAAGGCCCTGTGACTTCGTTGTTTCCCTCATTATGAAATAACCAGACAAGACAGAAAATATATACAGTCGTACCTCGGTTTACGAACTTAATTTGTTCCGGAAGTCCGTTCTTAAACCGAAAGTGTTCTTAAACCGAGGTGCGCTTTCCCTAATGAGGCCTCCCACCGCCGGTGCTCTTCCACCGTTCGGATTCTGTTCTTAGACCGAGGTAAAGTTTGCAAACTGGGACACTACTTCCAGTTTTGTGGAGCTCATAAACCTAGTAGTTCGTAAACAGGGCTGATCTTAAACCGAGGTACCACTGTAGATTGGGTTCAAATTAGGCCACAACTTTATTGATTACAGATGTGAATAGTTTGGCTTAGGCACAGGGTGGAGCCATCTCCTCCAACCCCTCTGCTGGGAGAGCATCTAAGGGTGAACTACCACTAGAGGGAGCCCTAATGAGGAACATCAAATAGGGGTACATCTGAGGGGTCCCCGTTGGAAGGAGTGCTATGGCCCTGGCTCCCACCTGGGCGTTCGGATAGAAGCAGCTCTTCCTGGATCCCTTTACCAGGGTACCCTTAAACAAGGAGGGGCAGGCAGAGGCTACAACCTCCCCTCGAACCAAGACTAGGCTTACCCAGTGCCTAACCTCACAAAGTTGTGACAATTGCTGCATTTGTCCTAAATAATAAGAATAAGAATAGGAATTTTATTTATCTGCCTATCTGACTGTGTTGCCCTAGCCATTCTGGGCAGCTTCCAATGTATATAAAAACATAATAAAACATTAAACATTTAAAAGCTTCCCTGTACACGGCTGCCTTCAGATGTCTTCTAAAGGTTGTATAGTTACCTATCTCCTTGGCTCAGAGATTGCATAACTCAATGCCCTTCAACATTTCTCTGATGAAAATAGGGACATCCTAAGGAAAAGGATATTCCGGGATCAAATCAGAAGCTATGATGGTTTCTGTAAATCTTGGACTGTTCCCTGGAAAGCAGGGACACCTGGGGGTTCTGTTGCTACGAGTTAGGTGGAAACCCAATGGCTGGTGCCAATTTGCCAAGTGGAAATATTCCTACCTGGCCCTGAATATGGCGGCCAACAGTGCCATAGCAAAGTCTAGTCTGCAGAAAGAAACTTACGAAAAAGTGAAGGGAGGGTGGGAGAACTGTTTATGGTGAAGTGGGAAGGAGGCCTGGTCAGGCCTCAATTTATCCCCCCGGGTGCAGACCCAAGTGGCATTTATTGGTTGGTTGGGTCTGCCCCCATGGGGAATTCCACCTCACACTTGCCTGCAATTGGCCAATCTTTGGGCAGGCAAATCCACCTAGACAACCTTCCCAGCTTGCAGATGTGGGCATGGTCAGGCTGCAATGACATCTGACTATGAAAGGTAAGTGGACTTCTGAGACCATAGAATTACAGAACTGTAGAGTTGGAAGGGATCCCAATGGTCATCTAGTCCAACCCCCTGCAATGCAGAAATCACAGTTGTTTTTTGATCCTTTTGGATCCCTTTTCTAATGATCCCTAGCAAGGAATTTTCTTTTTCTCGGTTGCCATGTGCTGGGTGTGTCTTGTTGAAATCCTCTATCTGCCCACACCCCATCTCCCAGCTGCAATTCTGCCAATTCTTCAGATATTATATCAAGGGAGGGAGGAGATGGTTGACTTTATAAAACCCACAATTA